AAAAAAAAAAAAAAAAACAAACTCACTGCCACCGAGGAGACGCTGGTGCAGAGCAACCTTAAGGGCAGGGTAGACTACTGCCCCGTGGTCTCCAAGACTGTACCTCTTCACGGAAGTAGAAGCCTTGTCTTTTACCAGAGGAGGAGTTGGTGGTTTTGAACTGCTGACCCTGCAGTTGGCAGCCCAAAACAAAACCACTATGCCACCATGAATAAAGGGGAAATTAAAAAGCCCTGATGGATCAAAGAAAATGCAGTGACTATGTTTCAAGGTGACCTTCCACAGAAGTGTAGAGAACTAACTTCTGGAAAAAGAATGGAAATCATCCTCAGAGCAATTCTAGACCACAAGGAAATACAACGGGTCTTCCTTCTCTCCTTGCATTTTCTAAATTACAATTCTTGCGATAAACCATTATAACTGCCTGATGTACTTTAGATAAGAGGTTAATATTTAAGAAAACATCACCATAAATAAGGGGATAGAGGAGCATAAGGATGTAAGGAACCTACACCTCACCACGATGGATAAACAAATGGACACACTCGATTGTGATGATTTACGATGGGGACTATTGCACTCACTGCCATGGCGTCCATTTTGACTTATCACGACCCTATAGGGCAAAGCACAACTACCTCCTTTGGGTTTCCATTATAGGAAAGCGAAACATTATAACGGGAAGAGAAACCTCAATTTTCTTCTGTGGAGTGACAGGTGCCTTTTAAGAGCTTATCTAGCTGTTAGGAGCTCAGTGCATAACCCAAGACAAACCTGGGCTGCCTAGAACCACGAAATATCATCTATCCAATGAAAAATGCTAAAAAACATTATGTCAACATGGAACTCTGAAAGTTGCTCAAGTAACCCACAAGATGTTCGTACAAAGAAAATAGACAGAAACAACCAACACAAAATGAGAAATAAAATGGTAGACTTAACTTCTGACATCTCAATCATTACAATGACTATAAGTGTGCTGAATACATCCATCAAAAGACAGAGATTGGCAGTATAATTAAGAAAATGTAAACCAACCCAAGGATATGCTGTAAAACAACCTAAGTAGACTGAAAGCAAAAGAATGAAAAAAAAATGTATCCTGCAAAAATTAATCATAGTAAAGCAGTAACGGCTAATATTAAAGTCGAATAAGAAGACTTCAGAGGGACAAGAAAAATGATCAGAGGCAGGCAGAACTACATAATGATAAAAGCAGTTTTATCCATCAAGACCACACATCAATCCCAAGCGTGTATGCACCAAACAGATCTGTAAACGCTATGAAGAGCTGATGAACTGCAGAAAGAAACAGACAAATTCACAATTACGGATGCAGACTTCAGCCACTCTCTGACAACATTTGATAGATTAGGCAGAAAACCAGCAAGGATATATCTAAGAACTCAACAAAGCCATCCGCTAACATGATCCAATTAACACTTCAGAACATTCTAGTCAACAGCATCAGAAGACACATTCTTTCCAGGAGCCTAGAAAATAAACAACTCAACAGACCATCTTCTTGGCTATAAAGCTGCACCAATTTAAAAATAACTAAAATCACAGAGTGAGTTCTCTAACTACAATGAAATCAAGCTAGTAATTTAATAACAAATTGATAAAATGAAATTTCTCAGAAACACTCAAAACACTTAGCAATAAGCTTCTAAATGATCAATGAGTCAAAGAAATCGCAAAGGAAATCTTTTTGAAACAAATAAAATTGAAATTACAAAATATCAACTAAATCCAGTGCTGCCAGGGAAAAGTATGGCCCAGGTTTTTGACAAAGATGCCCTGGTGGCACAGTGGTCAAAGCATTTGCCTGCTAACCCCTAGGTCAGTGACTCAAATCCATCATTGCTCCACTGGGGAAAGATGTGGCAATCTTCCTCCCCAAAGATTGACAACCCGGGAAATCCTCCAGGGCAGTCTGTTCAGTCCCTGAGTCACCGAGTCACAACGGACTCAACAGCAGTCACTGATGGTGGTGATTCTGACCAAGGGGAACACTATTGCACGGAGGTCACGCAGTCTTTTCAACAAATGGTGGACTGCCATGCAAGCAAGTATCTGTCATGTGAGAAGTACAAGTGGAGTGTTCCTTAGAAGCTAGGATGGAAAGAGTTCATCTTGCTTACTTTGCACATGTTAGAAGGAAGCACCAGTCCCTGGTGGACATCTTGTTGATGTGAAAAGAGGAAAAGCCTTCCCGAAATGAACTGACACAGTGACAGTAAATCATCTCAGTGTGGACGGTGCAAGACTGCAACACTTCCTTCTGTCATGCAAGTGTTTGCTTTGAGTTTGGCATGAACTAAAAAGGAAAAAGAACAGAATCTATAACCTAATATCTTATATTAAAAAAGAACACAAAACGAATCAGATTTGAACTTTAACAAAAACAACACATTTTTAGAAGAACATATAAGGAAGATAAAAATCAAGCACCAAACATGTGGGGGACAGCTACAGCACTACTGAGGGGGAAACTGACAGTCTTAAACACTTTCATTAGACAGGATGAACAGTTTCAAGTCAGTAATCTAAATTCCTACCTCAAGAAACTAGAAAAAGAGGCAAAAAAACAATGTTTAAAGAATTGGGGCAAACAGATAATAGACAATAAATTCTATTTTAATCTGATAGATTTATGATAATTTGCTATGGCAGCATTACGAAACTAATGCATTTACACATTTGTCAACTATCTCATCTGACATTTTGTATTTATGATAATAAAAAAATCTGTGATCCAACTATTTTGTGCATTAACAACAAGCCATTTGGCAGCTCCATTATGTGATATGATGTCGTTATCCTCCATTTTCATGTAAAGTGAATTTTCCCAGCTTTGGCACCTAACTATGCCGCTAATAAATGGCAGTACTTCCAACATACACTCTTAATGTGTCTAAAAGTAGATATACCCCTAAATTAGGGTGTAAAACTTTAGTATTTAACTATTCATGGCAATATGCACCACAAAAGCACTTTTCCTTCCCGTTCTACTGCCACTTCTGCATGTGTGTGCATTTGCGGACAGGGATGGGGTGGACGGTGTTAGAGGCTGCCACCAAGCCAATACTAGAATGAAGCAGTTGATCAGTAGCCCAGCAAGCTTTTTCTACCCAGAATCAAACAGCTATGATAACATCTTAAGGTCACAAAATACCCTATGCTCTTGCAAATGAGTTAATATAATAAAGAGATCAAACTGAAATGATGATTTTATAAAAACATTAGACTCAAACTCTGATAGAACCCTATTTCAAATTATGTGGCTTGTTTTCAAAGTATTATCTCCTATAATTTAATTATTAATTCACTCTCTCAGGTAACTCCTGGGGGGGGGGGTGTTTCTTGAGAACTCATTTCCACACAGATCCTGAAAATATTCACCTTATCCTCCTGTAACCTTCAAACACCCCCCAGCCCCACCCCAAAAACACCCCACTAGAATCTCACATTACGGCTTGAAGTGACTATGCTCACACAGATAATAAAAAACTACATTATAAGTCAGTTCTATTGCACTGTAGTAGGTACTCTTTGTACAGTATGTAACAGATCCTCAAATAACCTATGTCAAAAACTACTTTAAAATTCAATTCAGAAGCAGTAAAAAGTGGGTGGAATTAGTATTCTCCTCCTAGCTGGCTGTTACTTGCTTTGGCAGTAACAATGGTGTGCTTGGTCCACATTCCACATACCCTACCACTTCTGAAACCACTCACAGGATTCATTATCTACAGGATACACATGTTTGTTAGCCTTGATGGGCAGACATTGATTCTTTCTAAGAACCCAGATAACATGACTATCTTTTCTGAAGCTAGGTAAAACTCACCAAGTTTAAAAGTAGGCCCACATTTGAACTAAAGCCTACAACTGTCCCAGCAAACTTACAAAAGAGGATGTATATGAAGATCTCCCTGGAATAAAATTGAACTTCACTGACTCCGGGATGTAAACGTCTGCTTTTTTAAAGTTTCCTTTTCTAATTGTGAAGTCGTTGCCACAATGCCCTACTCCTTTCTTTGGGTGAGAAATAAGTGGGAGTTCAATCCAGCGCGCATCGCAGGGTGCAGGACCTCCACTGTAAGTCAAAGTCGGAGTGTGCAACTTAATCTGGCCGTGAACTGACTGTGGCCCCTCGGAGCGCCGCAACCTCTCTGAAGTTCTCGGTCCCTTTCCGAAAAAGCTCCAGCCCACACCAAGTTCACAAATAAGTCTGGTAAAAAGCGAACTTGGGAAACGCTCCGAAATGTGCTCTCGAACGCGGGGCCCAGGGACGGGCGGGAGTCTCAGCACCTCGAAACCCAGGTTCGCAACCACCGCCCGATTTGGAGGACGGCAACCCACGCCCCGAGTGGACCGGCTCCGAGCCAAGCCCATCGCGCGGCCACGGCGGGGCCTCGCGTTCGCGGGCCGGGCGCCCCCAGGGCGGGTAGCGGTCCTAAGACGAACGGCCCGGGTCCCGGGGACTGGCTGGCCGTCCGGGGCGGGCCCACTAGCTCGGGCGAGGGC